GTACTGTCTTTCTAGCGCGCATTATTCGTCTTTCTTGTATATCAATTTTCTATGCTGATGCACTCGCAAAACGTACTTAAATTATTTCTCAATTGGAGAGTGGCGTGAAACGTTTGGAAGTTTACTGCAGAAAACGTCCTGGAAGTCACCATTTTCGAAACAAAATCATGAAGATCAGATCTGCGGAGCTAATAGCCGGCACGAAAAGTTGCGTTACAAAAACAAACGAGTCCAGAGTTCGTTAAAAATTTCAATGATATCGGTTGAAAGAATCAACCATCCTATTTGAAGCGCCAAAAAAGAATATCGTAGTTTAATTGTATGTTAAACTAATTAATTTTTGATTATGTTGCGAAAACGACTTATCACTAATCATTTAGTTTTTTTTTTGCGTTTTTCCCTATATTTTTTTCGTTGTTTTACTTATTTCAATAACTTAGCTCACGTTTTTTTTTTCAATTAAAATTGAACGCTTGAGCCGACTCAATCGTACTCAGGTAAACATTTATTAATAAAATCAATGTGAAAACGGTTAGAAAAATTAAAATTTTGTGTGCAATGCGCATTGGCTTCATAGTTTTTTTAGTGAAATATTTCAACAGGTAGCAATTAATTATACTTTCTTAACAAGGATTACCATTTGTCATGCTTGTTGCGCAAAACATTGCCATTTCAAAGAATTAAATTTTATATTTTTCAAAAAATTTAAAATATTTTTTTTTGTTCTGACCATTGGGAACTTAGTATTCGGGTGTGTTTTTATTTTCTAGTTTTTGTCTTTTTGATTTCCATGCAAAATCAGGAACCACAAAAAATATTGGACTGGGTTGAGTGATTTATCTTTTTGACGCCTTTTAAGTCGCCGCCAGTGACGCTAGTGTTGAGAAAAGTTGATTTGAAATTTTTGACTCTTTCTTTATTTTCGTGCGAGTAGAGCGAGCAAGCAGGCATATCTATGCTTACTTTAAGCCGTTTACAGCAGCTTGTTTTTGCATAATTTTAATTCGAATCCCATAATCCCATTAATTCGGTTTTGGAGTTTTTAAAAGACATTTTGAGAATCAATAATTCTGAAAATCCAAAAAAAAATTACAAGAGAAATATTTTTTTTTGATTTTTTTTTTTACAATTTTTTGGTTTTTACTGTCATTTTTCTTCAAAATTTGTTGTGCATTTTGCCTCTTCTAATATGACTGTCGAACATGTCTAAATTCAAGTTTTGCTTTTAGTTCTTTTTATTACACCGCGCTTTATTACAACACTTTATTACAGCTATCCTTGTTTTTTTTCCAAGCAAAGTCTGATTTCACAAATACTTATCGGAATGAGTGATATATCAATTGAAAGCGCTTTCAATCGTGATTTGAATGAAGTAACAAAATAACAGAATTAAGTTTGAGAAAAATCGGTTAGAAAATTTTGATTTTATTTTTCCTATTCAATTTCGTGTAAGTAAATCAACGAGTAACATTTCATTATCAAAAATTTGTTTTTTTTTCAGAAGTTTAGGATATTTTTAGATGTGTAATTTAAAACTCTGGAAGAAATTTTTTTTTTAAATTTAATTGTTTTGTCTGATAAAAATCTTTAAAAAATTATTTAAATATGAAAAGCGATTGAATTTAAAAAAACTCTAAATTTTTGTTAGAAATTGATACAACCAAAATATGCGTCATCAATGTGTTTTTTTTAACGCACAGTGTCTTCAATGCAGTCTGAAAATCGAAAAAGTGTCATCCAATTGTTCTCGAAATTCGGCTTTTTTTTCAAAAAAGAAGAAATGGGTATAACGGCTGAAAAAGTTTTTAAAGACACAAAAAGTTTTTTTCTACGCGCTCGTTTTAAATTAAGTACAATACATCGAAAAAATCGTATTTCCCTAGAAAAACATCCTATGAAATTTCAGAGACGTGGTAGAAAAAAGGGTCATAGCATTTGCGGAAAACCATGACCAATATAATTTAACCTGAGGCCTACAACCGATAGTAAAAAGAACCGAAAATTCGATTTGATCCAAAGCAATGTCTCATTTATTTTCGATACATAAACCAAGCTCAGTCGACAAATTACATTGAGCTAACATTGTCAAATATCAATCAAAAGTCGATAATAGCACAACGCTTTTAGTTGAGCTAATAGTAAGTCGGGTTTTCAACCACAAAATTTTCGTAGGACGTGATAATCGATCAATTGAACCACTAAAAATTCAACTCAAATGAGCGCGCTTTTTAGCTGGCATATCAAAATTTTTAACTAACTGCTACAACCATCACATTTTAAATTATTTTGACAGAAACTTGCCCTTTAGTAGCCTTGTATAAATGATCTAATTGTTTCACGGAAAAAAAATTCGAAAAAATTATGTCAACTTTTTTGGTGCGCTGTAGTAATGTCATTCACTTTGAATGCTTAAATTTTAAATGCATCAATTTATGTCAAAATAACGAGACTTCTTTGGTTTCAGTATCAAGATACTTAGTATGATTGTTTGTTGAAAGAAAAATCGGTATGTTAGGTTTTGCCTCTTGAAAATTTGTTCGTTGCATGCAATCATAAACAAAAACAAGACTGCTCGTATCAGGGCGAGGCCCTGAATGTTTTGATTGCCTTTTAAGGCTTATAGAGCAGTAACAACATAAAAAAAATAAATTTAATAAAACAAAATGAAAACTTTTTTTCTAAAATTTGAATTTTTTTTTTTGAAAATCATCACCCCACACGCCATATAAAGTACAAAAGGATCGATTTTGCTCCTTGTAACAAATCAATTATGGCAAATCAGTTTCTTTCAACCAATTTGGAACGATTTCTAAGACGGATTAAATCTCCGCTTACGCATTAATAGCGCGAATTATATCGCGCGTTAATTGTCCCAAATTGGCCAAAATGGCGATCTTTAAACCCCCATAACTTTACAAAAAATGATAACAGGTGAAATATCTTTTCGAATTTAAGCTCAAGACAACAATATCTTTTGAATGATATAAAAATTCCGTGAAAAATTGCTAGTTAAAAAGTCGAAATATGTCTGAAGAAAAAAAACACAACCCGAGCACAAATATTCCGTTACTTTCGGAACAATAAATTATTTCAAGTTTTATGTCGAGAATCATCTCAAATTTATTTGGCGTCAAGCAAAAACCATCCTCAAAAAAATTGACGAAAATTGAAACAAAAATTTTGGAATCCGTTTAAAAACCATTTTATAGTCGTTTGAATGATCGGCAGACTCTTTGATCTCTTTAAAAGCTTTTTAAACTGCATCGCTTTTAGGTACATGTGTTGCATTTCTCACAATTTAAGATTTGTTTAGTAGTTAGCAATTATGCTTTAGAACAAAGACAGACGGTTGCTGTGCAAGTAGCTCAGAAAATTTCGACCACATTTATATTTAAAAAAAAGTGTGGTCACACTGTGTAATTTTTTATGCCGTGGCATGATGAGAGGATCTGTAATTAAGGCATATTCGATAGTATTTCTACATTCAATTTCAGGTGTTTTTATCAATCGTTATTGTACAACAGTAGGTTTGGTTTAGCGCCTGAAATGATCACTGAAGATTTCTCTTCAAGGATTTTATGTTAGCAAATGAAAATCTAAATTCATTGCTAGTAAAATTCTAAATATAAAAGTTTGTGTTGGCTTTTGCCGTACGACCATGAAACTTGATGGTAAGTTTCTTCGTAGTCGTAGATCGTCTCTTGTCCGAGGTTTTCTTCCAATACCGGGTAGCGGGTAGTTCTCGTATTGTACGGAATAGCGGCTCTGATCTATTGAGTCGAAGAGACATTTCGATTAAATTATTGTCATGTAACATTTTGAAAATGTTTTAACTAATTCTAATCTATCTTGTTAATTCTAAGCTAGTTTGTTTTTAAAGGTCTTATTCGAGGCTTATGGTCGCACCAGATGAGTTAAGTTCTTTGGTCTAACTCATAGAATAATTTCGGATAGGGTACACCGTCTGCTCGTCACGCTATCTTATTTTCAGCCAGATAGATTCGTGCAACTTTTTAGTCTAATACCGATCCTAATCTTACTCTTATATCTACTAGTCTCAGGGTGTTTAACTAGTCTCTGCTAGGCTCAATAGATCTAGAGTATACTGGCTTATTGCGATTGCTAAAGGTCTCTTGGAGAGGTAACTAATTTCTAAGTTAAATTCAAATCTCTCTGGTGCTGAAATTACAAGTAATTTCAGCACTTGCAAATAAGTGGGTTGTTAGTTAGATGGATCATTATTGGTTAGTATTAAATATTTTATAGTGATAAAATATCTAATTTACAACCATAATTAAATGTGGTTTAGATCTGGTTCCAAGTTCGATATTATTTTCACTGGAGTACATCTAAAATTTCACGTAGAATTCGACGATTATATACATTTTATAAAAACTACTCGCTTGCTTAACTTGCTCATATCAGAAGAACAACACAAAAAATTTTAATGTCCATCGAATCACTTACAGGGCTTAAATGTGCTATATCACTCAAACCCTTCTGTTAAAAATTTGTGGTACCTGATTTTGCGCGGAAAAACGTTTCAACAAAGAACAAAACTAAAATCAACCCGAGACAAAAATTTACCCAATTGAAGCGGCCGGCACAAAAAGTAATCAGAAACAAAGAAATTCTCATCATTGAGTAGTTTAAATGCTTGAAGCTGTGACAGCCTTCGAAGCTTTATGTATTCAAAAAAAAAAGGTTCCAAGAATACAGAAAAAGAATACAGTGTGCTTTAAGATTAGAAATATGAACTTACTTTTTGCATTTGAAAGAACATATACCCGTTTTAGTCTACAAAGATCACTTCAAAGTAGCCATTAACTTTTTAATTGGGTTCTTTGACAGACTAAATAATTGAAACAAAATGGTACGATAGGAAAAGATGAGAAATCTTAAATACAAAAACACGATGCAAGCAATTTTTAATTATATTCAGCATAATTATGAATCATAAATTTTCTTTCAAAAAGCTTTGAAATTCTTCATTGAGCCATTTTATTGCATGAGCGTTCCCTTTGTATGCTTCTTTTCGTAGTTCCCAGTGTTTTCGGGGTTCATTTATTGCCAAGAAGAAGCCTGGAGATGAGGGGGAGGGGAGATTGGTTAGAAGGACGAGTGATGGCTGCTGTAGAGGCTGCTGGAGTAGGAGCCGATTCCTCCGATCAGGATAGGGAAGCCTCCGTTAACTCGTCGCTCCCTTCGGCGGGACTAAAACATCAACTTCAACTTTATAACTTGATGTTATAACTTTAAGGGTTCTGTATTTTTTAACTTCTCTTGATACACTCATCAATGGCCCTTTCACTCTTGTCAACCTTTCTCATAAAACAATGTAAAATTGTCATAATACACTATGTTGTTCTTACAGCAATTTTCAAGTTAAAAAATTTGTTCAAATCTTGTACACACTGACGCTTTTTAGCATGACAATTTATCGCATTTGAGAAATCAAATACAGCAAAAGCATAGGGAGAACTGGAAAAAGCTCATTAATCGAAGAGTCAAGATTAACAGCTACGGTGGTTATGATGGAGTTATTATCCGTAAATGGATAATCATCTGTTGTTTTTTATAATTTTCAATTTCCAAACTTTGAAAATTATTGTCCATTTAACATAATTAACAATAAAGTTTGTCTTGCTAATTCTAATTATATTACTCGAAGCTCAAGCTCTCTGAGGTTAAAATTGACCGAGCTTCATGTGAACCGAGAAGTTTTAGTGTGTACTCACTCGCTCGTGTCGGTATCCTCCGAGTCCATGGTCCTCGTGCACACTGTGTTCGCTCACGACACTGGCTGAGTCATCTACTAGTGGAAGGGGCAGAGTGGAGACCACTGGGAGGAAGGGGCTTGAGTGTCTCGAGTAGCTACTGCTGCTGCTGCTTCGGAAAAAGGACATGTTGACAGGAGTGGTTCGTGAAACGAAAGCGTAGAACTAAAATTTTAGGCTCTTTTCCAGAATTCAAAACAGCGTTTTTTGAATTAAGTTAAAAATATCTAACTTTATAAAAATCTTATCTGATTTATAAATCAACCGATTTTTCTTCAAGAAACCTCTCAAATTGAAAAGCGCTATAATGATCAATTTGTTGAAAATGAACATTCCTCTTTAAATTTTGACGATGTTTTGAAAGTTAAAACGGTCATTCTTGTAGCAGTTTTTGGTTTTACGGAGCGAGCTTAGAAACCGGAAAAGAGCTTATCTACCAGTTGGGAAAGATAAAGTGAGAGCTGCGAGGAAAGTTTTGTGGAATGATTTTGAGAGAATTGAGGCACCTTTTATAGGTATAATTGGTGGGAAAAGGAGTTTCACAATATGAAGAGCAATCTTCTAGCCATTGTGGTCAATGTCTAGACAGGCACTAGAAAAGTAAAGATGTTCATTAGACTAGGGAGCATTTCAAGTTACATTAGGGGGTATTTCAAGTTACATTAGGGGGTATTTCAAGTTGCATTAGGGGGTATTTCAAGTTACATTAGGGGATATTTCTTCCTAGGTGTAAATTTGCGTGTGCCTAATAATTGACTGCTTTAGCTATCTGGTAGAACTAAATGGTTCGAAATGTCACAAAATACTTAGGATGACGGGAGATAGTAATGATTATCTAGGCGAAAATTGTACAAAATAATGTCGACGAAACTGCTATTAAGGATTGAGGCGCTTGATGTCTTAGCCAAGCCATTCATTCATTTAAACCAACGTAATTGCATCAGTCGGGTTACACGAACTTTAGGAAAACTTGCCCAAACAATTGTACGTTGACATATTTCAATCGTCAGCGCAAAAATACATAGAAATAATCAGAAAATTTTTGAGGCAAAAGCTTGATTACTTTCGAAACTGTTTCATCCTTTCACTTTTGCACCTAGAAAGGAAACCAAATTAACGTTTTCCGAAGAACCACTCCCAGACCATACAAGCAATCTTCTTGAGCTGTTTGCGACGAGGAGGTTTCCACAACAAGAACACATCACAAACGAGTTATCATAAACTGACCAAACAATCCTTACCAACCATGAGTCAAAATTTCAACCATTTATCTTAGGTAATTTATTCAGAGAAAACTTCAAAAATGAATGAAATGTTCATTCATTTGATCGGTTAAAAATTGGTCTGATTTATTTACGCGAAAACAGAATCAGGCGACAAGCATCTTCCCGCATCCAAGTTTAGGCGTAAATAATCGATTATAACGGATTATTATGATGATTTTTTGACAATTATAATCAATTATATTTACCAAAATTATAATCAATTATATTTACCAAAATTAGGTCGTTGAGGGATTAATAATTGATTATAATCGTGATATTTTCCAAGAGATGATAATCTCTTATTATCGATTATAATTGATTATAATTGATTATAGTTCTTACTAAAAACCCTTATAATCAATTATAATCGATTATAATCGATTATAATCTCTTATTTTGCCGAAATTTTCCTATATTCGAATTATATCTTATGGGTTATTATTTTTGTGTCAATAAGAAAATCTCTTAAAGAGAGATTTCTTGAACACTTTGGTTCATCTGAACACAAAGTTTTACCACAAAACAAAAGTTTCATAGAGATCCTTTCATATGAGTGGAAAGGTTCTCGCGGTAGATGAAAAATAAATTTTCCGAATCAATCATGAATCTAAATCAATTTGCTGATGTTTTGGTGTTTAAAAAAGCTTAAGATATGCATCACAAAACAACTCGAATGGGGAAGAAATGAAAAAAAAACTTATAAATTTGAATTAATGGGAAAACTTTAAAAAGATTTTTCTCATTTTTCATAGGAACCAACGTTCACAAAAAGCATAGAAAATAAGCAATTTAGACGCAACTTCGAAGACAAAAATGGACAAACAAAAGGGTTTACAATCAATTATAATCGATTATAATGGATTTTTGTGCAAAACTAATGAAATAGAAATTTGAATAAAAATAATGGATTATAATCAATTATAATCGATTATAATTGTATCAAAAAATAGACGAATAAATAATCGATTATAATAGTTTATAATGGATTATAATTAATTATAATTTGATTTTAAAAAGAGAGATTATAATCGATTATTAACGCTTTTAACTGGATGCGGGTTGGCCGCTGATAGCAAACATTTCGGACAGCGCAAAAAATGTTCTCAAAATGAACCTTTTCTTCACAGTCTGAGGTAAAACAACGTCAAAAACTGACAATAGGCACTAAAAGCTTAATCGAAAATGGGAACACAGCTGGCTTAAATTACAGCAAAACCTGAAAGCATGAAAAAATTCTCTGCTTTCATGTTATTGACAAAATGACAGATTTGATCAAAATATTCATGTCAGTTTGTTAAACAAGTTGTTTATCAGAAAAAAAAAAGATCCATAGCATAATTACTTCGGGCCATCATTGCGTCGGTTTCAGCCATTCCAAGACAAACCTTAGCCCAACATTAATTACTTTCGAATGATGCAACCTGACGGGACTGACGACCGAGTCATATAATAACAGAGTGACCTTTCTATCCTCATAAAAGATTAAGGTTAAACACTTTTTGTGATAGCTGTGCTTTTTGAACAAATATGGTAAAAAAAATTAGATGGCAACGAGCTGTTTAGTTATATTTTTACTTCGAATTTTTACATTTCAAACTATTTCTTTGATAGTAGGGGTCGATTCTCAGCAGACGATCCAATATAACGTTTGTCCAACGCCAATAAAAAATATCAACGAAACGCATTTTCTTCTCAAAACTTCGAAATAATTTTAGGTTTTTTATTAGTCGCATCACAGCGAAAAGAATTCAAAATACCAAAAATATAAAGAATTTTCAACTAGTCAACACATAAAAGCAAAAGTCTGAACTTTTTTTAAGCTTAAGAATATTTTTTCAGGTACAGAACTCTTCATGTAATAAATTTCAGGCTGCGGTTCTTGTGTATCCATTTCGAACCTAAAAACTCGAGAAAAAATCTGTGAACACACAGACCAAGCTGCGCTTCGCTAACACTTGCGAGAACACGACCAAAAAGCAGATCTATCAAGTGATATAAAAAAGTAGAAACAAGCCTCGAATTAGCAAAAACTCGGCTACGTATAGGATTGAGTCTCAATCACTAACCACTCAGCCGCGGATATTTAAATTCACCTAAATCTAGCCACTAATAAAAAAGCTACACATGCTAATAAATTGCGAATTATAATTCGTACTTCGTACCTAAAAAGCGTATAAAAACAAATTCAATGGAAAAATAAACTCAAAAAAAAAAATTCCTACACGTTTATCGCAGAATATTGCAAAAACTTATTATGATTATTATAAAGCCAAAAACACCAGCAGAAAACTTTAAAACAGACAAAAAATGCAAAAACACTTGATTTTTAAAAAGTTTACTCATCAAAGACGCATCATGAGATCGCTAAGCCGATAAACTAAAAGCTGAAACTTATCGAACCAAAAAAAAGAAACTTCAACAAATCGAGTTCCTTAAAAAAGAACTAATATAAAAAAAAATTTCGACACCGAGGCGAAGCTTCGCTGCGCAAACACGACAAAAAGCAGTTCTATAAAGTGCAAGCAGAAAAAATAGAAATAAGCTCAGAACTAAAAGAAATTCGGCTACGTCTCGGCTTCGATCTCCGACCAATCGTGACCTAGAGATTTTGAGTCTCACGCAATATACATTAAACCACAGACGCTTAATGAATCACAAACACTAGCCCCAAATAAAGCAAAAAACGGATGTTATGAAATTTCCATTGCTACATATCGTGATTATAGCAAAAGTGCCATCAAATAAATGAATACTTTTAAAAAACATTTTTACTTGCGAGTTAGGTTAGAGAAAAAGAAGGTTCGTAATAACACACTACGCTGCTTGATAGTCTAAATAGTATGAATGGATCTTTAAAATGCTAATATGCTCAAATTATGTCTGATGCAGTATTTCCAACAGAGGGAAACAATTCCAGATGGGTTCTGTGAAAAAAATTATTCAAGGTAAAAGTATTGTACCCACTTGCATTCAATTGTTTTCTCAAAAGGAAGAAACAATTGATTAAGGTGGAAAACCATTTTGCTAAAAATTCCCATATTACATTTCCGGCTTTTTTCAATGACATGAACAAAGAAAAAACTGTACAAAAATCCATTCATTAACGAAGAAATTGAAAGAATCTACCTTTCAAATAATTCAAAACAAATAATACAAAACAGCTATTTTAGGTAACAACGAGCTTGTTTAGAGGGATTGCGGGACCTGCTTTGTGTTTCAGACGCGGATTTCATTTGGTCACCCTAAGGAAAATTAGAAAGAACATATTTTTTTGAAAGTCCGCATGTTGCAAATAGTCTTTTTTTTACCATTCTTGGAGGTTAACAGGAAATTTTAATTAAAACTTTGCCAGAGGGGAAATGATTTTAATCAATAGCAGTAATTTGCGTAGAAGTTTTTCCTTTTAAGGATACATAATTTCATTCATCATATTCTATCCAAGTTCCATTGCCAATAATGACACTAAAACTACTCGGTTTTAGAGTTATTGCATCCGTTTTTTTTAGTTCCATGGAATGTTCAAATGTAAAATAATTCTTTTGAAGCAATCAAGCGGTTTATTTGTTTATTTTACAATGGTACGATTTCGTACACCTGCTCTCAAAGTGAAGTAAGCTATAAACAAAATCAAAACAAAAAGCATTCGATTTCTTTACTCTGGTCGACGGCGGCCGACCGACTAATATATGATAACAGAGCTACGGTGCGAGATCACAGGCTAACGCAACCAACCATCAAAACGTGTACTTTTCATTTAACTTTTTGTAAAAGTTGGCAGAAAAAATCAAACTCGTGCCACCATAAGAGTTTTCAAATCCTTTTGAGATATTGCTAGTTTCTTGTTCACTAAAAATGTACGCAATTTAAACACCGCATTTTTCAATCGAATTCAAGCCTGACCGTCAATCAATCGTTTGTTAGCTTATGACGTTTATATGAATATCGGAGATTTTACATTCAGACATTCAATAAAACTACGGTGAAAACAAAAACAGATTGGCTTTATATTGTGTGTCACCTTAACGACCGTTCCAGCATTCAACATCTAAACGCACCATACAAATTACTAACCTGTTCTAATTGAAAATTTAAAAAATGCCGACCGAGTTTCAAAACAGCGGTTTCACTCCTTGGGCACAGATGAAGAAGCGCCTCATTTCACCAGGAGTGTTCAAGCCTTCTTACCTCAAAGAGTGTGAACAAGGAACGAACAGTAGCTTCAAATTCGACCCGAAAAGTGCAAGCATGTGGTTAAGTTTCGACAGCGACAACACTGCATGCTATTTCAACTTCTTCGGGGCCGACCAGTGCACTGGTGAACCGTACCCAAGCACTGGGCTGAACGCCCTGGAATGCGTAATGGGGGACAAGCTCA